TGCATCTCAGATATTTACATTACAATTCATAACAGTAGCAAAATTACAGTTGTGAAGCAGCAACAAAAATAATGTTATGGTTGGGGGTCACCACAACACGAGGAACTGTATTAAGGGGTCGCGGCATTAGGAAGGTTGAGAACCACTGGTTTAGATAGATGCAACCCTAGTCGTTGCAAATGTTTCTCTCTTTCCTTATTATCGTTTTAGCAGCTCTTCTCCAACTCTGGGAAGCTTTGGCAGTTTCTCCACCTAGCTGTTACTCGACTGCTAAGCATTCCTTCCTTTTCTATATTCCACACAGCAATGTCTTTGCAATTTCTTACATTGCCAGCAGCGAGCTGAACAATGTTTCACGAAGGGGCACAAGGGAGGAGGCAGAGAGAGAGAGAAAAAGAGAAGGAAACAAGCATTTGCTAAACATTGAAGGAACTTCACTGCGTTACTGTCTGCGAAGAACAAACCTAGTTTAGATATTCTGCTGGAACGCAAACCAGGGTTGTTTGATTGCAATGAAAGCCAGCCAGACAAGGTGCCAAAGGAAAGAAGATGATGGATTTCCTCTAGCAGTTCTGCTTTTAAACCAGAGGAAAAATCGGAGGTGTTTGGAGGCGCTGTCTATTTATGGCTTGATTCCCGCCTTGAAGTTCCCTTTCCACTTGCATTTCTTTTAATTGAATCGTGGAGAAGAGAAGCACAAGAAGGCACCCAACACCTCCAGTCTTCCAAACAATAAAAGCGGATGGCACAAAAGAAACATCTCCACCAGGAATAGAAAAGAAAGGGAAAGGAACCCACAAAAGCAGGCAAAAGGTTTTTATTTTTCCCCAGGCAGTAGAAAGAGAGATCTGTTTATTCTCTCATCTAGATAGAGTTTCCTTTGCACAGCCACAGACAGACACATCCCTAGACTGCAGTTCTATATATCTAAGGATCACACTCTGGTACAAGCTGCATGGTGTTGCAAAAGTTACATATTCAAGCCATACACACTGGCTGAGGAAAATGACAAATGCAACCTACACATACTGGGAGAAAGGGATTCAAAGGGGAACGCCTTCACCCTTTGCAAATCCAACCTCTTTTGGAATCAATAATGACCAAATGTGTCATCTGGTAGAATGTACATTTTCCCCAAATTTATTTGGAAATTTGCATTGCAGTTGTAATACAGGACTCACCCAAGTTCCCCCTCCTGCACCCAAAATCTTCCAGCGAGGAAACCTATATTTCAAGGAGTTGGAATAATATACAGAAGCACCTAAAAGCCATTAAACATAGTTTGGCTTATTTTCAAATTGAGTAGCATAATGGAAAACCCTTGCCTTGCATTTACTCAGAAGTAACTGTCACCAATGACAAGGGGAATAGGGATTTGTTTCCAAATATTTCTTTATCAATGACATGACACTCACTGGGTTGCTGTGAGTATTCCAGGCTGTATGACCATGTTCTAGAAGCACTCTCTCCTGACATTTTGCCCACATCTATGGCAGGCATCCTCAGAGGTTGTGAGGTCTGTTGGAACTAGGTAAGTGGAGTTTACGTATCTATGGAATGTCCATGGTGGGAGAAAGAACTCTTGCCTGCTTGAGCCAGATGTGAATGTTGCAACTGGCCACCTTGATTAGCATTGAATGGACTTGCAGCTTCCATGCCTGGCTGGTTGCTGCCTGGGAGGATCCTTTGTTGGGAGGTTTTTGAGTGTTGCTCTTTATTTATTACAAGCATGTGGGCAATTTCAACAGAGGAAACCATGAAAATGAACACAATCTGGCTGCCAGTATTGATTGAAAAACTCTAAAATCAGCACAGTAAATAAAGAGCCACACTTAAAAGGCGGGGGGGGGGGGGGGATTCCAGACAGGAAACAATTATGGCCAGCTAACATCTCCCAACAAAGGATTCCCAGGCAGCAACCAGCCAGGCTTTGAAGCTACAAGGACATTAAATGCTAATCAAGGTGACTAATTGCAACATTCAAAATTTGCCCCAAGCAGACAAGAGTCCTTTCTCCCACCCTGGACATTCCACAGATATATAAACCCACTTGGCTAATTTCCAACAGACCTCACATCCTCTGAGGATGCCTGCCATAGATGTGGGTGAAACATCAGGAGATAATGCTTCTGGAACATGGCCATACAGCTCAGAAAACGCATAACAAGCCAGTGATTATGGCCATGAAAGCCTTCTACTACACATAGGACACTCACTGTTCCTCAAGGCAGTTTAGGTGGCATTCCACCCCCTACAAACTGATCCCACAACAACCCCTCAAGGTAGAGCAGTCTGAGAATGCCTCCACACTGGAGAATTAAAGCAGTTCGGTACTACGTTAGCTGCCATGGTTCAATGGTATGGAATCCTGGAGTTGAAGTTTGATGAGGCACCAGAGATGGCCGGAGACCCTGTGAAATGGCAACTCTTAGGATTCCCATGGCAGTTAAAGTGGTGTCAAGTTGCATCAACTCTGAAATGTAGATGCATCCACTGACAGCTCACTGTCCCTTCAATGGGCTAAAAGCAAGCATAGGTAGGATCCCCAAAACAACCTTGCAAGGTAGGACAGTATGAAAGGACAGAATTGACCTAGTCAGTTCCATGAATATACATATATTTATGATTAACACTGGGGGCGGGGGGGTCACGGTGTCCTGGATCTCCACCCAATACTCACACCCACCCACTGACCTCATTAGTGCATGCATAACATTTCCCCACCTTCATAAATCTTAATCTCTACAGAAACTGACAAACTGATCCAAAAAAAAGGGTGTCAAGTCTGGCTTGCTCTGTTTACGACCCTCCTAACTGGGGTTGCGCTTTAGGGCACTCTGCACCTGCTCAGGAGCCTCTTCTTTCCACAATTGCCAGCCAAGGAAAGGCAAACCCATTCCAAGGACCCACCTCCTTTGGAGAAGGCTTGCCCTCCAAGATGCCTATGCTGTGAGTCAAGTCCCCCCTAGATCAGTATGGAGGTTTGTAGCTAAGGGGGAGCACCATCTCCTCCTAAGCAGCTACACCTTAGAATGGTTGCAATTTGACCCCATTCTACAGTGTAGAATGGGTGTAGTTTGGCACTTCCACTGCCATGGGCTCAAAGCTTGCAGTTTGGAGGGGCAGGGGATGAAAAGGTTTGGAGTGCGACCATTGGAGCCCCTGGTGGCGCAGTGGGTTAAAGCGCTGATCTGCTGAACTTGCTGACCAAAAGGTCGCAGGTTTGAATCTGGGGAGCGGGGTAAGCTCCCACTGTTAGCCCCAGCTTCTGCCAACCTAGCACTTCAAAAACATGCAAATGTAAGTAGATCAATAGGTACCACTCCAGAGCGCCATGCAGTCATGCTAGCCACATGACCTTGGAGGTGTCTACGGACAACAACCTTCGGCTTAGAAATGGAGATGAGCACCAACCCCCAGAGTAGGACACGATTTGACTTAATGTCAAGGGAAAACCTTTACCTTAATGCGACCAGCTGCAGTGGGGTTAAACTTCATCCATTCTACAGTGTAGATAGTGATACATACACCCTACCTACACCTCCTCTCCCCAAGAAAACCTACACGCACCCAACTCATTGAGAAAATGCCTGAACCAAGAGAGATCCCTTCTTTTGCAAACCGTCTCCAAAAAGCATCCATTCTACAGTGTGTAGATAGTGATACATGCACCCTACCTACACCTCCTCTCCCCAAGAAAACCTACATGCACCCAACTCATCGAGAAAATGCATGAACCGCGGAGAGCTCCAAAACGATTCACGTTTGAGAAATTCCCGGCGGGATCCCCAATAAAGGAAGAGCCCCGTTCTTCTCCAACTACTTCATCACACTACAGAAAGGGGAAAAATCCTGCAGAATCCTGGGGTTTGTAGTTTAGTGAAGGCTCCTCCATAAACTACATACCCCAGAATCCTGCAAGAGGCAGAATCCGGATTTTAAGTGGATTTTTTCCTCAAGTGTGATAAGCCACAAGAGCTGCAGCACCCTCCTCTGCGGGTGTGTGTTGGTGTCTCTCGCCCCTTCCATGAAAACCAACCTGAGAAAAGAAGCCTCATCACAGCTAGAGTATGGATCCACTTTCAATCCGGTTTCTGCCTCCTGCAGAATTCTGGGGTTTGTAGTTTAGTGAAGCCAAGGACCTCCCTCCCTAAACTACAAGCTCCAGAATTCTGCAGGAGGCAGGATTTAAAGTGGATCCATTCCTTAGTGTGATGAGGTCCCGCGTTTGCTTGCAAACCTCTCTCCATAGAGAGAGCAGAGCGCAATGAGCGCATGGCTTCCCTTCCGACTGAGCCAGGCTTCCGTTTCGAAGGGAATCGGGGACGAAACCGACACAAACACACACACATTTTTGCCGTGGAGAATGCAGAAGGCTTGGGAGCCCACGATGAACCACACCAGCCTTTCCCCGAGCGCGGAAATACACCTAAAAATCGAGGCAAACCCGAGCTCTCTTGCATCTGCTCTGTTGCAGTTGCATCTGTTAAGGCGCAAGGCAGAGAGAGGGAGAGAAGGGATCTTCTCCTTCCTTCCAAGGGAAAGAGCTGGCAGGTGAACCGATCTTAAGGGTTTGGGAAAAAAAGAGGATCCCTTCCTCAAATCTGTGGCTGAAAACCGGAGAGGTGCCCAAAGCAACGCGTTGGTTTGGGAGAGTTGCACCTTGCACCAAGTGTGGGACAAAACGCAAAACCAAACTGGAGGAGGATAAGGTTCTCCAGTTTTCCAAGAGCATCAACAGGAATAAGAGGCAAGGAATGGGAGTTGTGACTAGCACAGGGTTTCTGGAGTTTGCCAAGAGCAGCCCAGTCGCCACCAAAAGACCCAAGTTCATCCATTCGTCCCAGAAACTAGAAGAAAGTTTCTCCCTCCAGCTCGCATTTTTGCGCGCCCCTCAACGCGCCCTGGACAACTCCAAGCGGTTCCTTCTTCCCACGCGCCCCTTGCAAAAGCAATGCAATGTGAGTCCTCTGTATATATATGATAGTAATGGCACTCACCCGCTTCGGAGCTGGACGGCTTCCTCTCGGTGTAAGGTATCCATGAAGAGGGAAAGAAAGGGAGAAGCAGAAGCAAGTGGAGAGATCTGCCAGGAGGAGTCTCTCTGCCTTCTGCTGCTTCTTCAGCGCGCAACGCGGGACTGGAGCCGAGCCGGGAAGCGTCCTCGGTAGCAACTCCGGAGCCAGGGAAGGAGGGGGGCTTCCGAGGGGAAAGAGGGAGGGGAAGGGGAAGGAAGGGAAGGGGGCGAGCCCCAACCCGCAGCGCAGCCTACCGGGAGGCAGAGAAAGCCGGAGACGGAGGAAGAGATGCAGGAAAGAGGTGCCTTGGCTTCCCAGGAGAAAGAGACGCAAGACTGGGAGAGAGCACCAGAGCCAATCAGACTGATTCCATGCCATAGAGGAACATCACATCCAAGCCTGAATGGGAAGGCACTCTTTTATCCCAGGATAACACACACACACACAGGATGAGTGAAGGATAGCTTTCAGGTGAAACTGCTCCAATGTTTTGAGACTGTCTATCTCTGGACAAGTGTGGAATTAAACTCTGCCTCTCACTGAGTCAGTATAGAAGGAAACACCAGAATCATAGAATCATGGAATCATCATCTTCTATATAAATAAAAATGTAATGTTAGTTCGTGCTACCATCAGAACTCAAAAACCACTGGGGGAATTGACACCAAATTTGGACACAAGACACCTAACAGTCCAATTTATGTCCTCCACTCAAAAAATTTGATTTTGTCATTTGGGAATTGTCGTTGCTGGGATTTATAGTTTACCTACAATCAAAGAGCATTCTGAACTCCACCAATGATGGAATTGGGCCAAACTTAGCACACAGGGCTCCCATGACCAACAGAAAAAACTGGAAAGGTTTGGTGGACATTGACCTTGAGTTTGGAATTATAGTTCACCCACATCCAGAGAGCACTGTGGACTCAAACAATGATGGATCTGGACCAAACTTCACATGAATACTCAATATGCCCAAATGTGACACTGGTGGAGTTTGGGGAAAATAGAATTGACATTTGGGAGTTGTAGTTGCTGGGATTTATAGTTCACCTACAATCAAAGAGCATTCTGAACTCCACCAACGATAGAATTGAACCAAACTTGGCACACAGAACTCTCATGACCAACAGAAAATACTGGAAGGGTTTGGTGGGCATTGACCTTGAGTTTTGGAGTTGTAGTTCACCTACATCCAGAGATCACTGTGACTCAAACAATGATGGAGATGGACCAAACTTGGCACGAATACTCAATATGCCCAGATGTGTACACTGGTGGAGTTTGGAGAAAATAGTCTTGACATTTGGGAGTTGTAGTTGCTGGGATTTATAGTTCACCTACAATCAAAGAGAATTCTGAACCCCACCAATGATAGAATTGGGCCAAACTTCCCACACAGAACCCCCATGACCAACAGAAAATACTGTTTTCTGATGGTCTTTGGCGACCCCTCTGACACCCCCTTCGCCCCCCAGGGGTCCAGACCCACAGGTTGAGAAACACTGCCATAGAGGAACATAACATCCAAGCCTGAATGGGAAGGCACTCTTTTATCCCAGGATAACACACACACTCAGGATGAGTGAAGGATGGCTTTCAGGTGAAAGCGCTCCAATGTTTTGAGACTGCCTATCTCTGGACAAGTGTGGAATTAAAATCTGCCTCTCACTGGGTCAGTGTAGAAGGAAACACCAGAAATCCCCACAGTGGTGAACAGAGATGGATAATTGAGGATATAATAATAATAATAATAATAATAATAATAATAATAATAAAACTTTATTTATACCCCGCCACCACCTCCCCAAGGGAACTCGGGCGGCTTACTTGAGGCCAAACCCCACAATACAACAATGCAAATGTACAACATAAGAATATTTATTTCCAGCATTTCTACCCCATCCTTCTCAACCCCCAAAGGACTGTGAGAGCCGTTCAGCAGTGGAACTCTCTGCCCCGGAGTGTGGTGGAGGCTCCTTCTTTGGAAGCTTTTAAGCAGAGGCTGGATGGCCATTTGTCAGGGGTGATTTGAATGCAATATTCCTGCTTCTTGGCAGGGGGGTGGACTGGATGGCCCATGAGGTCTCTTCCAACTCTTTGATTCTATGATTCTATGACTCAAGACAGCTTGCATTTGGCACAATTTGATGCCATTAAATATAACAAAGCAATATAACAACAATTAACACAATAAATAGAACATTAATTAAAACAATATTTATTTATTTATTTATTTATTTATTTATTTATTTATTATTTACTTTACTTATATACCGCTGTTCTCAGCCCGAAGGCGACTCACGGCGGTTCACAACCAATAAAGCAGCAAAAATTCAATGCAACAGTATAAAAACACTTAACAACTTAACACATTACATAAATTAGACAATTACTACAGTAACCAATCACTATCGTCTCATCATCAAAACCATAATCCAGATTCGTCATCCATTGTTCCATTCCTGTGTTCATTACCAATCATTGCACTAGTTATTCGAACGCCTGCACAAACAGCCAGGTCTTCACTTTTTTGCGGAATACCATTAGAGATTGTGCTAGTCTAATATCCATAGGAAGGGCATTCCACAGCCGATGACCCACCACCGAGAAGGCCCTATCTCTCGTCCCCGCCAGCCGTGCTTGAGAAGCAGGCGGGATCGAGAGCAGGGCCTCCCCGGAAGATCTCAAAGTCCTGGTGGGTTCATAGGCAGAGATGCGGTCAGATAGGTAGCTTGGGCCGGAACCGTTTAGGGGTTTAAAGGTCAACGCCAGCACATTGAATTCAGCCCGGTAGCAAATCGGTAGCCAGTGGAGTTGATGCAACAGGGGGGTTGTACGCTCCCTGCGTTCCACTCCTGTTAGAATCATGGCTGCCGCACGTTGGACTAATTGAAGCAATAAAACAGTATTAACCGCCGTATCACCATTCCAGTCAAATTCCATATCCAAAGCGCTATTTATGCCTGCTGTCCAAAAGCCTGGTCCCAGAACCACGGAAAGCGAGTTCCACAGGCGGGGGCTACAGCCGAAAAGGCCCTGTCTCTCATCTCTGCCAAACGTATTTGTGACGCTGGCGGGAGTGAGAGCAGGGTCTCCCTGGATGATTTTAAACTGCAAGGCGGGACGTAGTGGGACAATATTTATTTGTTTGTTTGTTTGTTTGTTTGTTTCCTATATGTATACCCCGTCCTTCTCCCCCCGAAGGGGAACTCAGGGTGACCTATACAACAATAAAATTTTTAAAAATAAAATAAAATACAAGAAACAGTATAAATAAACACAACCGACAATATAAAATCACAATATTTGCAGCATCAATTAATGCTACTCATATTAGACCAGTGTTTTTCAACCTGGGGGTTGGGACCCCTGGGATGGGGTCACGAGGGGGGTGTCAGAGGGGTCGCCAAAGACCATTGGAAAACAGTATTTTCTGTTGGTCACAGGGTTCAGTGTGAGAAGTTTGACCCAAATCTATCACTGGTGGGGTTCAGAATGCTCTTTGGTTGTAGGTGAAAAGTAAATCCCAGCAACTGCAACTCCTGAACTACAACTCTATTTTCCCCAAACTCCACCAGTGTTCACATTTGGGCATATTGAGTATTCGTGCCAAGTTTGGTCCATCAATGATTCATCATTGTTTGGATCCACAGTGCTTTCTGGAGGTAGGTGAACTACAACTCCCAAACTCAAGGTCAATGCCCACCAAACCTTTCCAGTATTTTCTGTTGGTCAAAGGAGTTCTGCATGCCAAGTTTGATTCAATTCCATCGTTGGTGGAGTTCCAAATGCTCTTTGATTGCAGGTTAACTATAAATCTCAGCAACTAGAACTCCCAAATGTCAAGGTCCGTTTTCCCAAAGCTCCACCAGTGTTCACATTTGGACATAAGGAGATTTATTTATTTATTTATTTATTTGGGGTGCTTCTACCCCGCCCTTCTCAACCCCCTAGGGGGGACTCAGGGCGGCTTACAAAAGGCACAATTCGATGCCTAACAATTACAACATACAATGCAATATACAATACACAAATTTAACACATAATATCACAGTTATAACTGGTTAAAACAATCAGAAAATAAAATAGCAGCAATTAAAATACATCTTGTGGTCAGTGGTCACCAAAATCAAAGTCCGTAAACCATTTAGCATTGTCATTGTCCTTTCCTACTGTGGTCATTGTTTATTTATTTATTTATTTATTTGCTATACTTGCATACCGCCGTTTCTCAGCCTAGCCGGCGACTCAACGCGGTTTACAACAACTTATAACAAACAACAGTATACAGTTTAAAAAGCATAAAAACATAATCCACAATACATATATCAATAAACAATCCAATACATCTCTTGACTAAAAACGTGATCCAGTTTCGTCGTCCAAATTGCCAGTCCTTCAATCATTACACTTATTGCACTGGGTTAACCGAACGCCTGCTCGAACATCCAGGTTTTTAGTCTTTTCCGGAATACCATCAATGAGGGGGCTGATCTTACCTCCATGGGAAGGGCGTTCCATAGCCGCGGGGCCACCACAGAAAAGGCCCTGTCTCTCGTCCCCGCCAGCCGCACCTGTGAAGCAGGCGGGATAGAGAGCAGGGCCCCCCCAGAAGATCTTAGGGTCCTGGTGGGCTGATAGGCCGAGATACGTTCGGATAGGTAAGTTGGGCCAGAACCGTTTAGGGCTTTAAAGGCCAACGCCAGCACTTTGAATTGAGCCCGGTAGCAGATCGGCAGCCAGTGGAGCTGGTGCAGCAGAGGAGTTGTATGCTCCCTGCGCTCCGCTCCTGTTAGTATCATGGCTGCCGAGCGTTGGACTAATTGGAGCTTCCGGGCCGTCTTCAAAGGCAACCCCACGTAGAGAGCGTTGCAGTAGTCTAAACGGGATGTAACCAGAGCGTGGACTACCGTGGCCAAGTCAGACTTCCCAAGGTACGGGCGCAGTTGGCGCACGAGTTTTAACTGCGAATGCTCCCCTGGTCACCGCATTGTTGGTTGTCTATTCATGCCTAGTTTAGTCCAGATTCATCATTATTTGAGTCCACAATGCTGTCTGGATGTAGGTGAACTACAACTCCAAAACTCAAGGTCAATGCCCACCAAACTCTTTCAGCATTTTCTGTTGGTCATGGGAGTTGTGGGAATGGTTCAATTCCATCGTTGGTGGAGTTCAGAATGCTCTTTGATTGTAGGTGAACTATAAATCCCAGTAACTACAACTCCCAAATGACAAAATCAACACACACACCCCAACCACACCAATATTCAAATTTGAGCATATGGGGTATTTGTGCCAAATTTGGCTCAGCGAATGAAAATAAATCCTGCATAGGCCTGTAGCCAGGATTTTTATCCGGGGGGGCGGGGGTGTGTGTGTATATG